ACCGCCTGCGCCCATGCCGCTCTTTGGCGCGCCACTGCTGCTGTCGGCGGCCAGCGGAGGGGCTGGCTGCGCGCCCGCCTGCCGATGTGGGCGGTGCGCCCGGCGGCAGCATGGTCTGAGAAGTGTGCTGCGCCGGCGCCGATGTGCTGGTAGGGGCCGCTGCGGATGCAGTGGGCTGCGAGGAGCTCTGCGAGCTCTGGTGTGAGGCGTCGGCTCCTGCTCCAGCGCCGGCCGCGCTGCCCTTGGCCGAAGGCGTCTGTGCCATCGCCGGAGCCTGACCGTCCCTGCCGGGTGTTGGCGCGCTCGCGCTGGCCGGCGTCTGGGCCTGAGTCGGGGTTGAGGCGCCGGGACCGCCCGCATTGGCCGGGCCGTTGCTGCCCGGAACCGACGATGCGGACAGCGTCGGCGTCTTGGTGTTGGCGCCCGACTTGGTGTTCTGCTTCAGAGAAAGAGGTTGGTGGTGCGCGGCAAGAGAGCGAAGCGACGGCGGGCTTGCACGACGTCAGCTGAACGTTCTCTCTGACCGGCGGCGGAAATACGGAGATGGGCCGCGGGGTCGATGCTGTACTCACCCTCTGTCGAGCTGCGCCTTTCTTTGGCTTCTCTGCCGTGCCCATCTTGGGCGTGCTCGGCACGTTGCCCGCCGGCGAGCCAGCCGCCTGAGCGTTTTGTTGCTGGGAGGCCTGCTGCTGCAGACCTCCCGCCTGCGTCCGAGGACTCGGGCTCGAGATGCTCTGAGGTCCGGGAGGACCCATGCCTCCGACCACCTGCGACGAGGCGGTCCGTTGCATCCCTGGCCGCTGTGCACCTGCCGGAGACGAATTGGCCTGGCTGAAGTTGTTGTTATTGTTCTGTCCGACGTCTTCTGGACGGCCCTGGCTCGAAGGCGGCCGAGCCGGAATGTTGCCGCCGCCCGGGGGCTGCGGCTGCTGGAACTGCTGCATGCCGCCGGCGTGGTTCTGCTGCTGCATCCCGCCCGATTGTCCGGGTGTCTGCCCCTGCGATGGCCCCGGCTGTTGCTGCTGCTGCGCGCTAGAAGCTTCGTGAGGTGTTGGGGCGCGTGGAACGCCGTTCGGCATGGCATTCGGTCCAATCATGCTCGCCATCAGACCGGGATCGTGGGTTGCCATGGCAGGCGTGATGCGACCGGCCGCAGCCTGGGCGTTGGCCATCTGCGCGGCTCTCTGCTGGGGCGTCATGTTGGCCATGCCCTGCGTCCCCGGGGCACCCATGCCCATCTGAGGGCCGCCGGGCCGTCCCTGCATTTGCATCTGCTGCTGCATCTGCTGCTGCATCTGCATTTGTTGTTGTTGCTGCTGCTGCTGCTGCTGCTGCTGGAGCTGGAGCGAGGATGCTTGCTGCTGCTGCGGCGTTTGCGGCTGTTGCTGCTGGGCCATCGGCTGCTGGCCTTGCTGCTGCTGCTGCTGCGCTTGCTGCTGCAAAGCCTGGGCCGGTCCGCCCGGCTGACCCTGCGGAGAAAAGTTGGTCTGCGCACGGAGGAGCGCCTGCAGCGACTGCGCCTTGGCCTGATAGCTTTGCACGTTGGCATAGAAGTCCTGCGCCGAGGTGGGGTTGGGTGCGTTCTGCGCCTTCATCCACTCCTCTCGCATCGCGGCCTGCACGCTCTGGTACTGGTTGAAGACAGCCTGCTGCTGCTGCGGGTTCAGCTGCGGATGCTGCTGCGGCTGCTGCTGACCTTGCGCTTGCGGCTGAGGCTGCGGCTGCGGCTGGTGAGGGTGGCCCTGGGGGCCGGCTCCGGGCTGCGGTGGCAGCTGAGTGGTAGGCAAGACGCCTGCGACTTGCTCGGGGCGATTCGGGTCCGGCTGCGGGCCGGCGATCGGGCCCACCGACCTCCGTCCGTCTGGTACGCCTGGGGTGCCGATCTGAGCATGTGCGGGCGACCCGGCAGCCATGGGACCGCCGTTGGGGGGTCTGGCCTGCATGCCGGCTGGGACCGGCTGGCCAGCGGCGCCGGGCATGCCCATGGGCGCGGCCCCGCCCTGGCGCTGCTGCTGCATCATCCTGTGGAGCGCCTGCTGCTGCTGGAGGCGGGCCTGCAGCTGCTGCTCCATCTGCTGGCTGCTGAGCCCGGGTCTCAGCGCCTGCGCGTTGGCCGGGTTGTGCGGATTCA